GGAGGCACCTTCAAATTTTAAAGCAATTCCTAATAAAATCTGAAATTTACTGGATAATTATAATGTATAGAATTCTTTTACTACTAATGATGAGTACCAGGTCCGTAGGCATAGGGGGTGCAGAGGGTGCGGACGCACCCCAACCCCCAAAATTCGAAAAGGTCCACTTTTTAAAACCTATGATTTCACAAAATCGTTCCTAATTATCACAAAATGCTATAGCATGCATTGCATTATATATTTGCCAGCTTTTCTAACCGCTGATTTTTAATAATGTGGTATGAAATTTTTTAGAAATTGATCGTCTCTGGTGATTGCAGATTAATCTATATAATTATGAAGAATGTTATCTATAGGCCGGCAGATGTACAGGACAATAACGTTACCGTACTTTTTCAGGTCCCAAAAACACCAAATTAATGGAAATTTAAATGAAGTATTCATGAATTATGTGTTTGAGAAATCTATTTTGCAAGACCCTCAAAATGCTATTTTGTCCTTTTTCCCACAAACCCCCTCCAGGCCTCTGCATCTGGACCACCAAATTTCAATAAGTCCACTTTTTAAAAACTATTATTTCACTAAAATCGTTCCTAATTATCGCGAAATGCTATAGTATGCATTACATTTTTGCCCGCTCTTCTACCCGTTGATTTTTAATAATGTGCTACGAAATCTGTTGGAAATTATCAGCTCCAGTGAGTGTAGTCCTACAGATGTAAAGGACATGAAAAATTATAATTTCACAGCGGTAGATTCAAGGGAGAAGAGCCCCCTAAAATTATAAAAGAAATGGAGGAAAAAGAAAAATTATAATTAAAGTTTGTCTGAGAGTGCCATTTCATGCCACTTTGAGGTGCCATAATCAAAAATTTTCTTACCTCAGCCCCAACCATGGTGGGGCTGAGGTGGTATTGACCATCTGCCTGTACAAGTTTCTCCCTTCACCCCACCCTCTATTTCTCCTGCTTTACTGTAGGTCCCTAGACAATACTCAAATGAATGAAAATTTAAATAGGATATTACAAATTATGGATTTTAGAAATCCATTAAAAAAAGCCCTCAAATGCTAATTTGTCAGATTCGCCCCACCCTCGCGGGGAGGCTAGACAGTCGCCCATCGTAAGGTCCACTTCGGTTGCAAAACGCACCTCCCCATCGAAAATTCTGCCTACGAGCCTGAGTACGGAATAAAATCAATCAATCAATCAAGGCATTTTCATGTTAATAATATTAGTTAATAACAGAAATAAAAATACAGATTTGTTTTTACTATATATATTTATATAACCCAACCAAAGATTTGAAAAGATGAGCACTAACTTATTGCATTTAACTGGTTATTACAAAAGTATGTTTATTATTGTACTACAGTATGCTGCATTATTACACTTTGTTGGACCCGATGCCTGCAAACAGACTGCGGGCGGTACCCCAGGCTAGATATTTTTTCGCCCGCAGATACCTAAAATCACTATTTCTGAATTTACTAACATAGTACAGTATAGTTGTCCACGTCTACAATTTTTAAAAATAAAAAATTGACCTATTTTAAAAAAAATATTGGAAAATAATCTATGCATACTGTATGTAACAAGATTCGTCTCTACAGTATGTACATTTTATGTACATATACCTATATATTGACCTACCAGCTGTATGTATTGGTATATTTTTATTTTTTTATCTTTTAATTTAAAGCATATTTAATCAGGATAACATATGCAGACGAGATCTCAACGCTGTTTAACAATATGGCCCTGCAATAATAATGTACAATAAACATCAAGAAAGCAACCAAAACAATGTAAATAGTAAAAACTTTCTATGACGTATCGATAAAATTATATTGCCTTTATAATGTGTCCGGTAGGCTTACATTATTTTCTGTTGAAATGATCATGTGTGGGATTCTATAAAAAATTTACCTTATTAGGAAATCTGTAATTGTTAAATTATTGGTTACAATTATAAACAAAGAATTTTTTTTGTACAGTTAAAAGTCCTTGAATATCATGTGCTTAGTCCACACCGCAGGCTCAGCAGGTATTGCAGGCACCATAGGCAGGTTTAAATCAATATACAATAACATTCTTTTCTAAAATCTTGACCACAGGCACTTCGGGCTGACTTTGCCCGACTTTGGTGGACGGTGGACTGTGATGTGCGGGAAAACAGTACACTGCCCGTGATCGGTATTGTATACAAAGATACAACAAGATACAAAATACAACTGTTCCGGCAAGGATGAGTGTAACACACGATATAAGTGATGATGCACTATCAACTGGAAGAAACAAAAAAACATAATAATTAATACAGTGACACAAGGAATTTCAATTTTGCAAAGAGAATCTAAATAGATTTCATTCAAATAGATTTTAAAAAATAAAGATATTATAAAGGTGTTAAAATATTTTCTGTCCAATGAGAAATATTTTTCCATTGTAATATATCTGAATGGTAGGATAAAATAATTATACTCTATTATATTTTAATTATGTATACATATATGTAGCACAAACTTGTAAAATAAAATGGATATCTTTTAATTCAATAAAATGTGTAAAAATATGTATTAATTGTAAGTCATTGGAATCAAATTGAGGCATTATATTAAGAATTAAAAAAGATTTCCAAGTTAGAATTGTAAATCTGTTTGTTAATCTGCTAACAAATCAATGATTATTTTCATTAAGTTAAACAAAAAATATTGGAATGACAAATACAAATTGCAAAAATTTCCCATTAGTGACTAAAAACATTTTATTGTATTTTAACAGTGCATAACCCATAATTTGTACAGTGATTTGTTTCAACTGTATTACCTTACTTCAAGACACATTTTAATGATGCACATATTGAAATACTGAATTGAACTAAGTTTTATTGAAAGAAAGGGTGGAGCTAGCGGGGGTGGGGGAGGGGTTCGGGATGCAAAGGGCTCCCAATCAGGGAATTTCCAGCAAAGGTCGTCAGGGAAATATCAAATTTTAGGGATTAAAAACTGCTTAGTATGAGTAGTGCTACCATATGTGCGAGGTATTGTATATTATTGGAACCCCCGAAAGTGGGTTAGTACCCCTGACAGGTGATTAGTACTCCTGAGAGTGGGTTAGTACCCCAGACAGGCGGTTAGTACCCCTGATAGTGGATTAGTACCCATGACAGTGGGTTAGTACCCCTGACAAGTGGTAAGTACCCATGACAGTGGGTTAGTACCGCTGACAGGTGGTAAGTACCCATGACAGTGGGTTAGTACCCCTGGCAAGTGGTAAGTACCCATGACAGTGGGTTAGTCCCCCTGGCAAGTGGTAAGTACCCATGACAGTGGGTTAGTACTCCTGACAGGTGGTTAGTACCCCTGACAGTGGGTTAGTACCCATGACAGTGGGTTAGTACCCCTGACAGTGGATTAGTACCCATGATAGTGGGTTAGTACCCCTGACAGGTGGTAAGTACCCATAACAGTGGGTTAGTACCCATGACAGGTGGTTAGTACCCCTGACAGTGGGTTAGTACACCTGACAGTGGGTTAGTACCCCTGACAGTGGATTAGTACCCATGACAGTGGGTTAGTACCCCTGACAGGTGGTAAGTACCCATGACAGTGGGTTAGTACCCATGACAGGTGGTTAGTACTCCTGACAGGTGGTTAGTACCCCTGATAGTGGATTAGTACCCATGACAGTGGGTTAGTACCTCTGACAAGTGGTAAGTACCCATGACAGTGGGTTAGTACCCCTGACAGGTGGTAAGTACCCCTGACAGTGGGTTAGTACCTCTGGCAAGTGGTAAGTACCCATGACAGTGGGTTAGTCCCCCTGGCAAGTGGTAAGTACCCATGACAGTGGGTTAGTACTCCTGACAGGTGGTTAGTACCCCTGACAGTGGGTTAGTACCCCTGACAGTGGATTAGTACCCATGACAGTGGGTTAGTACCCCTGACAGGTGGTAAGTACCCATAACAGTGGGTTAGTACCCCTGACAGGTGGTAAGTACCAATGACAGTGGGTTAGTATCCATGACAGGTGGTTAGTACCCCTGACAGTGGGTTAGTACACCTGACAGTAGGTTAGTACCCCTGACAGTGGATTAGTACCCATGACAGTGGGTTAGTACCCCTGACAGGTGGTAAGTACCCATGACAGTGGGTTAGTACCCATGACAGGTGGTTAGTACTCCTGACAGGTAGTTAGTACACCTGACAGTAGGTTAGTACCCCTGACAGTGGGTTAGTACCCATGACAGTGGGTTAGTACCCCTGACAGGTGGTAAGTACCCATGACAGTGGGTTAGTACACCTGACAGGTGGCTAGTACCCCTGACAGTGGGTTAGTACCCATGGCAAATGGTAAGTACCCCTGACAGGTGTTAGTACTCCTAACAGGGGAGCTAATTGGCTACTGTAGGTTTTCCCGATGGAGGGGGCTATTGCACCCCTATGGCCCTCCAACCTCGCTGGCGCCACCACTGATCGACTGTGCAGTGGCGGCTCTAAGATATAATTTATTGGGGGAAGGCTAAGATGTCCGACTGGGGGAGTAAGTAAAAGTAAAGGTATTAGAATAACCCATAACTTGCAGCGTCATTGTGCTGAATTGTGTGTGGGCGTGGGCTGTGATTACCTAGCAGCCGTAAAGAGGCACTTCTTGGTAGATACATGTTCACATCATTCCACAACGACAGGGGATGAAATGAACCATAACATCAGGGTAACCCCCTACTCTTCCGAAAGATGCAACGGGTTCTTTAAAGTGCACACGAGCCAGATGTATACACTGGACCTCTATGTTAAGTCCTTGTCCGAGAAGACTTGTTTCTACCAACCGAACCATGGGCGAGGAGCGCCTGGAACCAACGCCGATGTTAAGGCTGTAGCTAGCGGCACCCCTGCCTTAAAGCTCGGCCACTCGACTCGTACGGACGAGATAATATCTCGCACGTCAGATAATATTATCTCGTACGTACGACTTAATTATCTCGTCGCGATAAGCGTCGATAGCTCATTTTCCAAGGAATTTCAGTGGGTTAGTACCCATGACAGGTGGTTAGTACTCCTGACAGGTAGTTAGTACCCCTGACAGTGGGTTAGTACCCATGACAGTGGGTTAGTACCCCTGACAGGTGGTAAGTACCCATGACAGTGGGTTAGTACCCCTGACAGGTGGCTAGTACCCCTGACAGTGGGTTAGTACCCATGGCAAATGGTAAGTACCCCTGACAGGTGTTAGTACTCCTAACAGGGGAGCTAATTGGCTAGGTTTTCCCGATGGAGGGGGCTATTGCACCCCTATGGCTCTCCAACCTCGCTGGCGCCACCACTGATCGACTGTGCAGTGGCGGCTCTAAGATATAATTTATTGGGGGAAGGCTAAGATGTCCGACTGGGGGACTAAGTAAAAGTAAAGGTATTAGAATAACCCATAACTTGTAACGTCATTGTGCTGAATTGTGTGTGGGCGTGGGCTGTGATTACCTAGCAGCCGTAAAGAGGCACTTCTTGGTAGATACATGTTCACATCATTCCACAACGACAGGGGATGAAATGAACCATAACATCAGGGTAACCCCCTACTCTTCCGAAAGATGCAGTGGGTATACACTGGACCTCCATTTTAAGTCCTTATCCGAGAAGACTTGGCTCTACCAACCGAACCATTGGCGAGGAGCGGCTGGAACCAGCACCGATGTTAAGGCTGTAGCTAGCGGCACCCCTGCCTCACCGCTTGGCCACTCGACTCGATTACGGGTGTAACTATAGTGCGCAGCGTAATCTGAGGGCCAAATGCCCGAGCCGGGGGTGGGTATGGGAGGGGTGTCCCCTCCTCCCACAACAAGATTTTTAAAAAAAATTGGGACTTGATGGACGGAAATGGCTAGGATGAAAAAAAACTAGGCCTTTTTTTTCTTTTTTTTGGTCCGACTGCCCGATGAGCTTTGGCCGATTGGGGGGTGGGGGGTGAGCATGAATGGACTGATGGGGGATTAAGCCCCCTGTCCCTGCTGCCGCCGCCACTGGGACTGTGTAAGCAAAGAACATAGACACAATTTTCAAAAGTAAGTCTACGTAAATTCAGGGAATTGAGTTGTTAAAACTTTAATGTTATTACTGAAGCATCATGACTAGTAACGCACCACAATCACAATTTTGACACCCATACTCATCCTTGCCGTATCGACCATTTGGGCACGGTACACAACTGCGCAAAGGGCATTCTGAAAAAAAAAGAAGAAAAAAATGGGTAAATAATAATAATACCCATATAATAATATTATTCTCCTGAAGACGATTGAAGCAACTCAATCGAAACGTTGAGATATCCTCAACCAACAACAGCAGTTCTTTTCAGAACTATCTACGTGGTGTACTGCAAGCATTAATATATATTAGTACTTCGCCATGCAAACCTTCAAACAATATTTAATACCCTACCTGCTGTTTAATGGTTGGTTACAGAGGTAAACAATATATTTAAAAAAGGATCATCGGATAAAAAATGTAAATATACTACTACTGTAATTTTATCATTTATAAATAAAAAATCAATGATCTGTTTAAAGCCTGTCTCTTATACACATCTAGATGTGTATAAGAGACAGGGCCATCAGTATGCGCAAGCAGACACCACCATTGCAAGGTAAATTTAAACTGTAGTACTGTATTTGAAATGGATACGTAGTCTGATGGTTAAGGTGCCTACTCAAGATCATATTTTCAATCCTTGTAAAAAGTCGGGATGTTTCCGGGGGTGACGTGGGAGAGTAGAGTGGCCATGTATCTTGTACTTATTATTAGATTCTAAAATGATTCAGCCTTTGAAGCCCCTTTCGTCACATTTTTTAGGGGTTTCGTATCCCTGGACCACTGTCAAAAAGATTTTGGGTGATGCCTGACCTCACCCACTTTGCTCTGGTTGCGGACATAGAGAGCCCACCACTGATAATTTTTTAAGCAAAACACTAGGTTTAAGTAGTTATAGTACCTTATTTTGCCACCTTCGCCCTCCCACTTCATATTTGTGCCCCCCCCCCCCAATTTCAATACTGTTCTCCTAGATACATCACTCCCTGTGTCAGTTCATTTGATATTTACTGTTGATTAAAAATAAATTACTTATAGTTATGTTTTATATTCCTGTTTTTCTTATATGTTTTAGTTGGTTGTTGTCCATTGGGTGTGAAGATTGTACTAAGTACTTTCATGATCATAGCATTATGTATCTCTACCAGCTTGAAGACATTATGACCCCACAGGTGAGTTTCACATACAGTGGTCGCTGCCAGAAATTTCCTGGCTGATTTCCTGGCAAATCAATGAAATCTGACCAAAATCGATCAAGATGTTTCATTTTCTCAACTGATGATATAATCAATATAATGAGTGCCTTCCTTGCGGGTCTACCTCAGCTACAAACAAATGGATCCCCATTGCTTTTTCGAAGTTCAGGCTTATGGGAAATTCTAAATTTAAGGAATATAAACAATGTCTGGTGGTATAAATTCATTTTACATTATTTCTGTTATATAGAGAAAATATTTTACTACAGTTTCGAACAACTACGTTGATTTTCATCAGGTGAACGTAAAACATTTGCAATATATTGTTTCCTAAATATAGCATTTGTTATCCATGTCAGTGAAATTGAATTTGATATCTTTGATACCTGTCTCTTATACACATCTAGATGTGTATAAGAGACAGGGGTTTCTACTGTACATATTAATCTCTAGAATACACACAGATTGAACTCATCAACCTGGAATTTAAAGTCCAGCACCGTCAAAAAGAAATCAAAAGTACTTGTCAATAGCCTTTCTCAAATGTTTTGTCTTTGATTGTTGTGAATAGTTGGAAGGACGTATTCTCCCTAAAGAAAAGATTCACCTGCGTGGCAAGGCCTTCATTCCTCCAATACCTGACTGGGGAAGAGAAGTCTGCAGAGAAAAAGTTATATCTGCAGTAAGTTATTCAGGATCAACCTAATTTTATATTACATCTTTTTTTAATATCAATTTTTGTATGCAGTTATATTTTTGTTTTGTCTTTGACTTTAGAAAATCTTGTTTGGTCCCCAGTTCCTGTCTCTTATACACATCTAGATGTGTATAAGAGACAGCTAATAAGCAGACCCAAGAAAAAGGACAAAAACAGAAATCAAGGGGTAGGAATTATCCAATTTACTTTCAAAATGATAGGAAATAATTCATAGCATAAACAATGTATATTTTTTTTATTATATAAAGGGAGGAGAATAACCCATAACTTGCAGCGTCATTGTGCTGAATTGCGTATGGGCGTGGTCTATGACTACTTAGCAGCTGTAAAGAGGCGCTTCTTGGTAGATACATGTTCACAACAATAACAAAATCAGTAAAAACTTAATTACTGTGATAAAATATAGTAAGAAAATACTGCGGTAGAACGAAATATAAATTTAAAAAAAGGGTTTACAAAAATAGTAATAGAGATAAAAATAAATACACACGTGTGTGTGTATACACACACACACACATACATACATACATACACACACAATACATACATGCATAGATGCACACACATACACACACCCCTCCCACACACATAGTCACACATACATACATACATATACACATACATACACAAACACATACATATACATATAACAGAGTAAATATTGTAAATTTAATTCAATAACATTAAAACCAGACAAATTATATAGTTTACAACCAAAGATCAATGATCCTTCAAATGACATAGGTATTAAATATTCAATTACCGCAATTGCAAGTCTGGCACCCATCCTCGTCTATTACATACATACTATGGGGGCATGGCCGCACACAATCAATCATCGGACAGTCTGGAAAAAATAAGGAATAAATACAGACTTTAATGACTGACTACACTGTGAGACATGCCTCATTTACGTAGACCTATAAAAGTACTCAATAAGGAAGGAATCATTCAACATTTAAAGCGTTAGTTCTGATCATTCTGATATGAATACTAAGCCAACAGTAGTTTCCAAATGGAACTTGCTTTTAGGCAGCCAACCAGAAAAATGCATTAGGCCCGGTTCACTATCTTCAGGTCTGGACAAATGCACATTCAGAGGTCCCATACCGTAAAGTTCTTTAATTGCGCAGGTTCTTCTCATACAGTGAAAGTTTGATCATTCTCCTCCCCAATTCAGGTCAATCAGATTTACATTGGAGATTCTCAGGTTTCCACAAATGACTTTGGTAGAAACATTGGTGTCAATTTATTGAGGATCACTTTGAATTTACTCGGCATATTTCTACAACCTGCCACTCAATCCATTTCCAGTTTTAAAAGAAAGATCTGACACATCAGCAAATATCTTGTAAGGAAGGTATTGCTTATAATGTATAGGCACTCAAGGCCTTTTTCATGAATCGGTAGACATCTTGAAGTGATGACAAACATTGCAAATCAGCGGTGCGTAACCAACAGAAATAAGATAAGCTTTTGGGCTGATTTTCTGACATCATGTTATTTAAAAAATCATAACTCTATAACGTGTATTAAAATAGGCCTATGCATTACAGTGCAGTTAGTACAGCACTTTCATGTTGTTACTCTTCCCGAGGTACCGAGAATATACAGATTTCTCTTTATAAAGTACAAGTTGTTTTATAAAAAAAGTATAGTATAGTAAATCATGTTTTTAACAAAGGAAACTCTCATATGGTAACTAAAACAATGCTAGTCCAGAGTATTACTAGAACTATTGCACTTTAATGCATATACTTATTTTAATACATAGTAAACTATTAGGCCCCATAAAAAAAAAAATTTAGTTTATCACCCGCTCACATTTTTTGGGGAAAATCTGATTTTTTTTTTTTCAATCAACATATATTTTTATTTTAAACGGTCCTTTTCCCATCTTTTTTCACTTGAAAGGCTCAGAATTTCTCGCAAATATGTTTACTGGTACAACAAAAACATTTATTTAAAATATAAATTTGATTCCACTCTAATGACTTTTTATATGTCCCTAACCATTCATTTACTTGTGAACATCGGTAAAAGGGGGCGGGGTTAGCAAAAAAAACCCCAAAAAAACCTCCCTCCCTCATCAGTTTTTATTCTTTGATAGGTTGATAAACTAATATGGGACCTTATAAATAGTCTTCAGGTCAAAAACTTTTTTCGATTTTTTTTCAATTATATAGTGGTGTAGACTAGTCTTTTAAGAACATTTTGCTGGAAACATTTTTGGGATACGACACCCCGTTATGGATTTTTAAAATAATATGATGTCAGCAAATCAACCCAAAAGCTTATGTTTTTTCTGTCGGTTACAAACCACTGATTTGCAATGTTTGTCATCACTTCAATTCAAGATGTCTACCGATTTGTGAAAAACTAAGCCTATTAACTAATACTACCGCATTGGTTAATTATAGTATAGGGTCACTGATTAGGTCCCAAAGGCTAAAGAATAACTTTCGGCCAAATATGCGTGCAGAAATCAGCCCTTTTTCAGTAATGTGCGGACGGATTTCGGGTCTCCCGAAAGCTCAGACCACGAAAGCTAAGACCTAAGACCACGAGATATCAGACCCACTCGAAATATCAGACCCCACAAATTAAGACCCTCAACTTTTAAGTATGCCAGGATTTCTAAACAATACCTTTACTCGAAAGCTAACGTCAATATAAAAAAGTGACTAATCATAAAATAAACACCATTAAGTATCATCGATACCAGCTAGGCCCCTATTGCGTCGTTTACCGGAGAAAACTAATACAGTACAAACAAACCGGCTATTCGCACTACTCCACGGAACCGTACGGTACGGTTTTGGTACATTTTCGATAGCGGTTTCTTATGCACATCTATCATGTGAATACTGTATCTGATATATTATGGTTCTCGATCGCTCTCACTCTTTATATTTTTAGGATAGTTTTCTTTTTACATTCACCTTACCTTTTTTACTTGCTTCTTTTTTGTTTTATAGGGCGGACCTATTTGGTCTCAAAATATATAATAAAAAATATAAAACTACTAAAAGCATAGAATATGAAACCATTAACAGTGGCGGATCCAGCGAAGGGGGTGGGGGCATGAGGGACCGTCCCCCCCACCAATTCAGTCAAGCCGAACATTTTGAGGAAAAATTGAGAGGAAAAATTGTACCCATGAGTTTTTGTGCGATCCAGCAGTGGAATGAAATGATAGCACCAGCCATGGTGGGGCTAAGGTGGGCGTGGTGGCGAGAACCTCATATTGTTCCCCCACCCCTCCCCCCTTTTCAGAAAATCTCTGGATCCGCCCCAGAGGACTTGGACATGGCGCTTAGAGACCTTGTTTATTTGCACCTTATAAATCGACCTGTTATTATTATCATCATTATCATTATTATTATCATCATTATTAGGGGCCTATTATTATTATTATTATTAATTATTATTATTATTATTAATATTGTTATCGAGAACGATCGCGAATCATAATATCAGATATTCGCACGATGTGCATTAGAAACCGCTATCGAAACCATACGGTTCCGTGGAGTAGCCTGTACACTAACAAGGGTTTGTTTGTATTGTATTTGTTTTCTTCAGTAAACGTTGCAAATAGGGGCCTAGCTGGTACATGGAGTTGATTTGCCTTGACCTTGAAGCTAAAGCATTAATGCTTATTCGTCCCTCTGTCTAAGTCTCTAATACATACGGTTTAAACTTCTGGTGGTGATTTAGCCAGTGTTCTTCAAGTCTTGATTTGAACTGATTTATTGACTGTGAACCCACAGTTTCAACTGACATATTATTCCAATCATTAATCACCCTCGTACTAAAGCTTTGTTCTCCCCACTTAGTTTTAACTTTCGGTTTCTTCAATTTTAGTGAATGTCCCCTAGTAACTACTGTTGATGACAATTCAAAAAAATTGCCAACTTCTAGCTTATCAAACCCATTAAAAATTTTAAAAACCTGGATAACCGAGGCTTTCTTCCTTCTATAAGCTAGTGTTGGAAGATCTAATCTTATTAACCTATTCTCATAATCCAGTTCCTTCAACTCAGAAATTAATCAAGTAGCTTTTTGTTGTAATTTTTCTAATCTATCTTCGTCTTCAAGGAATCTAGGCACCCAAACATTATTACAGTATTCTAATGATGGACTAATTAATGCCTTATAATAACAAAAAACTATCTGAATCCAAATGTTTAAATGCACGATGAATAATTCCCAATTTCTTATTTGCCATGGAAATTACATGCGAATCATGAGACCAGAAATTCATCCTGTTATCTATAACAACACCAAGATCTTTCATTTCACTAACCAGTCCTATGTTCTCCTTCACCAATATAGTACTTAAAATTCTGATTTTTATATCCAAAATGCATAATCTTGCACTTTGTCAAATTGAAAGGTAATTGCCACATTATAGACCACTATTATAGAGCATCAATGTCTTTTTGAAATTTAATACTATCGTATCTATTGTTTACACTCATGTAAATCTTTGTATCATCTGCAAATAATTTCATTTTAGAATATTTAACCGAATCTGGAAGATCATTAATAAAGACCAAAAATAGTACAGGACCCAAAACACTACCTTGAGGAACTCCGCTAACCACTTCTTTCCATTCAGATTTAATTACTTCTACTATTATTATCAAAATAATTATAACTCCATATGTCTGGTATCGATAATACTTACTGGTGTTTATTTCATGATTAGTCTATATTATTCTATATATTGATGTTAGCTTTCGAATAAAGGTATTATTGTCTGGAAATCCTGGCATACTTAGCTGAGGGTCTTAATTTGCGGGGTCTGATATTTCGAGTGGGCCTGATATCTCGTGGTCTTAGGTCTTAGCTTTCGGGACTCCCGACGGATTTCTAGGTCTAATTTTTGCGCAGAGGATATTCCCAGGCCTAACTAAGGAGTACTGTAGGCTACAGTTTATAGTACTGTACATACAGGCCAGACCTAGCTAGCCTGGAATAATCCTCCTACTCACCGTAACTGACTGACGTGTTTGTAGAATCCGCAAACAAGAAGAAGGTAAATAGAACAATATATAGGCCTACAGTCATATTTCCCCACAAACACTTCATATTTATCATCGTGTACCCATTCAATGTGTACACCTTTCGTTAAAACAACAGCCTAGGCCTAGACTGTTTTACCAACAGACAGACATGGTCATACTTACTTCCGTAAACAACAAACAATCCGGTTGTTTGTCAATGCCGTATTCGATAGTCGTTCTTCGTTAAACCACGCCCACCCGCGCAGTGCAAATCCTACCAGAGGTAACAGGATAGACGTTTTGCTGCAGTGACATCTCGCTGCTGGCGACTCGGTGCTGGAGCCGACTCGCTGCTGGCGAATCACCTAGTACGCATGCGCAAATGTATGGAACGCCGATCACGCAAAAATAGTGATTTTAGAATTTGACCCGGTAATGGTTCATGCTGCTGCGAATGACCTAGTACGTGTAATATTCTGCCTTTTAATTGACACACAGTCGTGCTGAATACTAATAATACACACAGTTACAA